GGACAACACTGCCTTAGCAGAACCCATCCAGGGCCATTTGGCCATGCCATAAGAGATTCCATTTTGGCAGTAGGCCTGCAAAATGGTCATCAGGTCTAACGTGCAAGTGGTTTAAGGTGTGTTTTTGCTTCTATTTTGTCTCTACGTTAGGTTGCTTCTCACCCACACGGCTTGGGAGCTCAGTATATAAAGGAGATCAGGTTTTGATGGTACCTGTGGATGTGTTAGAACATAAGAAGAGAAGACTGTCTTTCAAGTTTGGCTTTCTCTCTTCTTCGGTGCCCCCCTCTACCTTCAAAGGTAAGGACACCTGGAGGATAGTCTTAGCTGGCAATCTGGACAGGATCATATTGAAGCAGGTGGTCCTTCAGACCTTATAACTCTGGGCTCTTTATGGCTTCATAAGTCAAACAATTTAAGCTCTTTAATCATGCCAACCAACCACCTGAATTACATCTTTGCTTGCCTGCTCTTTATCCTATTCTTGGTAACTATTGGCTGCCTTGGACTACCAATATCAATGAAAATTTGAGACATAATCAATGTTCCTTGGAGATGGAAATTAATCTTCACATGCCAGCTGGGTTGTAACCAAAAAAAGGTCAATTGAGGAACAAGTGGGAGGGATCAGTGGGGTTCAATCTAACGGTGATTATCTAAAAAAATAATTTCAGGGAGCCCAAAAGTCTACAAAAGCCCAGTGAGAACAAAGCTTGCTCCAATGACCTCTAGAAACCACCACCAGTTAGTAAAGAACAATCAAAGAGTTGTACATATTGGTGCAGCCAAATAATTAAATAAAGCAAGCAAGCTCAGGGGATAGAACAGTTTGCTTGAACCTCTTATTGTTCCTCTCATCTGTAAGGAAGGCATGTCTGTCAGCTGGAATACAAAACAGGGCACAAACATACCTGGCTGGAGATACAATTTTTTCCAGTCTGAATGTTGCACTTAGGCTTTGAATAACAAGTTAACGACCACATTCCTCAAAGTAGCAGGAGGACTAGGACAAAAGTTAAGTTTGCTTCCTTTTTATTGACATTAAGATTTAATTATCATGAACTATTCTCAGTATGATTATTGTATTTTCTATGGCCATAGAAATTAGGACCAGAAATAATGGGTGTAAGTTGCAGCTACTTAAGCTTTTGTTTAAATAAAGGGGAAAATGGCCTGATGGTACAATGGAGCAGTCTTTGAAATTAGGGGGTCTCCATCTCTGGAAGTTCTCAGAAGAGGCTGGAAGTCATCTCTCATGGATGGCTTAATTAGTTTTCCTGCACATTGGAGAGGGCTGGACTAGATGATCCTTGTGGTTGCTTCCAACTCTACAATTCTATGATTCTGTGATAGGTAGCTTACATGAAATTGGATCTCCCTTTATTTTCTTCTAAAACAACTATCCTGTGACATAGGTTGGGCTGAGAGAAAATGACTGGCCCCAAGTCACTGGGTGAGTTTCTACTACTAAGGCTGGCTTTGAACCTGCCTCTCCCCAGTCCTAGTCTGATCCCTCAACTGCCACACCGCGGCAGTTCTGTTTTCCCTGCAGTCAGGTGTTTAATAATGTCCCATTTCCCGTGTTAAAAATGGCATTTTCATAGCAACGTTTGGACGTCTCAGGGCTGCGAAAAATTTGGGAGGGCACATACAGTTCTGGGACCCCAGAGTGTGCACCTCTGGATTAGATGGTGGTGAAAAGAGAAGATATATTTGTGAAATCTTTTGAGGAGTCTAACAGGAGGAATTCCAAACATAAATAATCTACAGATGGAGAAAAGTTTGTTAGTAGCTGGCAGGGGTATATGTAGAAAATGGTCAAAAAAGCTAAAATCAAAGCAGCAATGGTGCAATCAAAACTCCACCCATTTTTATGTGTGTTACATAAATGGGAACAGCTTCAACCACACTATTGTGGCCACCATCTTGACTTTTTTGACCACAACCTGCAGATACTTCTGGTAGCATAAATGGCAGGGCAGTCGAGGTTGCAACAAATCCAAGAAGCCCTTCAATGATTCCATCTTCAGGAACTCACTAAGAAAAGGAGGCTGGAGGTTCCTATCCTGTTTTTCAAGATAACTCGTCCCTTATTCTTGCATCAAAACTCCTAACTGAAGTCTCCATGATTCCTGCTTCCCCTGCCCTGGGTATAATGCCCAGCAATGCTTGGAGGCCTCCCCAGTTAGCCATCTGGTCCTGCTCCAAAACACCATCACCAGTGCCTTTAATACCCAACTTCCCATCACAGAATTTGACACCCTACAATGCCCATCTTCCCCAGCCACCACAGCCGAGGTGGTGTAACACCTTGAGCACATAGGACTGGCATCATTGTTGAGAAATGCTGGTGAAATCACTTGGGCACACACGGAGCTCTGTATACTTTGCTGGTGTGTCTATTACTGAACTGGGAAAGCTCTGAGCTTCTACCAGCTACGGCAAAGCTAACAAGACGGGGTGTGCTAGGAAGCTGTCTTGAAATGCAACTCCACCCCTGGAATGTTCCTGCTGGGATATTCTTCCTCCTCCTCCTCCCTTTCCACCGCCCTGTTGTCGTCCTCCTCTTCACTCCACGAATGCCAAAAGGATCTCTGACGCTTTGATGGCCTTCCAGCCTGGAAAGGGGAATTTCAGTACAGCCGATGGAGGGATCAGGAAAAGGCCTGTGAAGAAGAGAAGGGTTCCCAGAACAAGTAAGTTCTTTTTTGCACTGCAGAGGAGAGAGGAACGAGAGTGTTTTGAATGACTGTGTGGCTAAAAAAGAAAGGTGCTGATGTTCTCCTGGCACTGAGACTGGTGTCTGAAAATATGGATATTGCTCATACGGGATGAAGCTTTTTAAAACTGATAGGTGCCCTTCTGGGAAAAGTTCTCCAGCCTGAATGGTGAATTTGATCCTTGAAATGAAGCGTGGCTGAAAAGAATCACTTGGCAGAAAGGCAAAAGTCTTAGCTTGCATTAGAAATCTGGGAAGCTATCTGCGGGTTTGAATGAATCTAGCAAAAACTTTGGAATATTTTTGGAGTTTCTGCAGTCTGGGACTGTTTTAGGAGGAAGGACGTGTTAGGCACCTCTTCTTAATTCTGGGGTAGCAGATCCCAGGGAAACTCTGAAGGCAAAGTGCAAGCTAAAAGCAACAATGGGTCTAGCCACCTTTGTGTTAATTAAAGTGAAGGCAATTTCAAGAGCGAGTCACAGGGTTTCAGAAGAGATCAAACAATAGATTTGATTTATAGCAGAAAGGTCGCACATTAAAATGGTCACACTATCCTTCTTTTCAACAGGACCCTTTAAGAATGAAGTTTAGACAGAAACTCTGGGTTGGATCCAGAAAATACACCCTATTAGAATCAGTAGCAACAAACTGATCATGGTTTCAGTTGCGCTGATTTCAGTGGGAACTCAAGTTCAGTCGAATTACATTTTGGTTGTGCTGGAATGCTGCAAATGAGATGAGATCAAGGTTGGACCCAGACTAAGGCAGTCAAAATTCAGCTGCCCTTGAAATCAGTGGGGCTTCAATCATGAGCAACTAGAGATATGATAGGCCTGAAGAATACTAAAGGCTTCTAAACTCTTTATTTGGACTTGAAATTTTACCTTGAGGATAAGTGGAATTCATCTCCACCACAATCCTCTGACATAGGGCATTTATCCTTCCAATGGGTCAATGGACCACTGAGTATCCATGCCTTTGTGGAGATGAATGGAAATCACATGTTCAGATTCCCTCACAACAACAGAATCCATGGAGGCATTATTTTCCACCACAGTTCACCAGTTAGAGGGGAAGACAATTAATTTATGACTGAGAAAAACATCTAGAAATAGGAAGCTTGTCAGCGTTCTCAGAAGGGGGACATGGGATTTGTAGTTTCTTCTATCTTTTTAATAGGGTGTAGCAGAGCAGGGTAAGTGGCTGCACATAACTGTCTTCTGCTGGGAAGAGATTTGCAGACCAACCTTTTTTTTTTTTGTACACATTAAAAATCAATCAAGAAGTTTACCAGATCAGACTCAGAGATGCACTTATTTTCTAAACTTTATGTACAGTAGTTTGTGTACATTAAACAGTTTTAAAGCCCAGCGTGCTTTCAACAATGTTATCCTCTTTGAAGTAGAGAGGTTATGTACTATTCTGGCTAGCCTATATGATATGATATGATATGATATGATATGATATGATATGATATGATATGATACGTTACGAGATATGATATGATATGATATGATATGATATGATATGATATGATATGATATGATATGATATGAAATGATACAATACTATATGCTGGGAATTGTAGTCCAGCACATTTGGAGGGCATCCTATTGGGGCAAGGCTGGTCTAGAAGTTACAGTATTTTGAACTTTATATAACAGAACAATTGTGTTTTAATTCATGACATAAGCAGAAGGGCAGCTCCTACATCGTTTGCTTTTAATTTTGCACACACACTGCATCTAAGTAAAATAACCTGCTAGAAAAGTCCAAAAGAGATGCTGTGTAGAGGTATCGGGCAACAACCCTGATCAGTGTGAGAAGAGGGGTCTTGCATATACATCTCTATGCCTGCATGTAAAACCTTGAAGGACTTCTCTCCTTGGTTACTGCTTGACTTATAACTGGGTAGAACTCATGTCACCCATATTATCTCCCCCAACCCCCTTGTGCACTGCAAATGTTTAAAAACAGCTACTACTAACCCACCATATATGGAGAAAAATGATAACCCAATGACATCACTTTTGTTTATAAGAAGAACCAGTTTCCAAAATGATGTACAGTTCTCAGGTCCAAGATATTAAAGAAGGTGTGGAGAGCAGTTCTTCTATCCAGGCCCTGATAACATCTAGCCCACCAGATGATTTAATTATCACTTTCTTCTGAGTGGTGTCAGTTCCAGTTGAGGAGGAATTGCCTGTGCCAACCCTTCCATTAGGCAGAGTGAGGCAACTGCCCCAGGTGATGGATCCTGTGGGTAAGTAACAGGACTTACCAGCTATTCCTCTTGAACTTGCTAGCCATTTCCTTTTGGCGAACTGAGCCATGAGGGCATATAGCCTGTCCTGAGCTCCCAAACTGGTATATCATCTTTGGGTATGATAAAAAAATGTGAATCTCTCCCTGAAGCTGAAATTAAAATTCTTCTCATTTTCTATTTGTGGAACAAGAGAATCTGTGCCATCTTGTTCTTTTCCATAGGCAGCAAATGTCTTGGACCAGCTCTGAGAGGGGGCTCGGGAAAAGATGCTTCTGTGAGCTCCTATCCCTAGTGAGTGCATCTTCTCTTCCTCCTCACCACTCTCACCACTACTCCTTTGCTCGTCCACTTCTGCTGGGCTCAATTCACCTTTCAAACCAGAAGGAAAGCAGGGGATAATGGTATTCCATTTCCTTATATCTCTTGCATTTTTTGCAGTGGGTGTAGGAACAGGAAAGGACATCATGAAGGAGAGAAGGAAGGAGGAAGATATCCAGAAGAAACAGGAGACTTTAAGTCTTGCAGGAGACCCTTTATAGAACTGTGGCCCTTAGCAGATGTCCAGTCTTTTCTGATACTGGACCTATTTCTAAAGTAATATTGGTCAGGCACTGTGCATTGAAGGTATAAGAGCCGTATGTGTCTGGTGAAGGAGAATGTGGTGGAAGGGCAGAGTATAAACTCTTTTTTCCCTCTTGTCCCCACCTTTAAGTCACTATCATCAAAAGCTGAAAGATAATGTAAGTCAGGAGCTCACCTGGCTTTTTTCATGGAGCAGAGCTGATTTCTCAAAACTCATGACTGATTGCCATGTTTATTTGACTGATGAGACAAAAGGTAGCTAAACAGGAACATGGCCCTTAAAACTCCATGCCAACTTCCTCCACCACCACTTCCCCAATCCTGGAGTTGTTTTTTCCCTGTTCTCCAGAGAACAGCTTCCTACAATTTCAGCATCTTGGTTAAACTAATATTGGACAGAGAAACGTGCCTGCACGTTTCTCTGTCAGTCCGTCATCAAGGTTGATGAAAGAGGATTTGCTTCTCAAATTTATTTCAGGGGAAAAGAACATTCCAATGAAGTTCTCACGAGTGGACTGAGGAGTCTTTCCACTTGTCACAGCAAAGTGAGCAAGGGATTGGTGTGACTGTTGTGTCCTTTTTTCTGCAACCCTCTCTCCATCTCTGTCAAGGTTGCTCCTTCCCTCTGAGTTTTTTCTCTGCCCTTCAGAGAAAAGAATTTGTCCTTTGTCTGAAGGACAGAGAACTTATCCAGTCAATTTCTCTACCCACAAATTTGGGGGTGAATTCTATCTAGTGCTAAAAGAAACCCTGAGTCAGCAAGCAAGAAAATCTCATCATTGACTGAATCACTGTCTACTCTCATACAAAAGCTAGCTGAATTTGAGGCCTACCAGTGTCATATAGACATCCTGAAAACTTCACAATAAGTTTCCACTGGGTGGGGCACCCCAGAAAAGAATACACATTGGTATCAACTGGCAGGTAGTTGAATGGAAAAGAAAAACAACCGCCAATGGAAGAATGCACATCTTAGGAATAACCTGATTTTATGTAAGTGCAGCATATATTTTCCTGGAACTGGGTGGTACCACATCCGTTTTGGCCATAAGAACTAATTTCCTCACTTCCTCTATGATGTGGCTCTTGCTGTGAGTCTGAGTTCTACTCATGCGTTGGAACCTCTTAGTATGCTTCAGATGGTTATGCTCCATATCCATCTGGAGCCAGGGCTGTAACAGTTAGTTGCCATTAAAAATAAAGGGTGAGGGATTTTCATGGATTTCTAAGAGTACCAGCTGTACTGTTCTGCACAATTACAGATGCTTTGCAAGATGTTAGGGCTGCACAGTGGATATGGCAATCGTCACCACATTTATAAACTCCATAATCACATCTAGCTGACGATTGTTGGGAAAAGTAGAGTGGATTATATGACCTGATTCAAAAGATGCTTGCCTCTTTGTCATTTCATTTAAACCCCCCCCCCCAAAAAAAAGGTCTATAAGAAAAGCCTGATTAGATGTCCACAGGCAACCTAGCAGTAACATTGTTTTGATATAGAACATCCCTTCCCAACTTGATGCACTCCAGATATATTGGACTACAATTTCCATCATAACTACAAGGCCTTATGGTTGGGGGATCATGGAAGCAGGTATGTGTGGGTCAGTCTAAATCCAATTTGTACATAAGTAAGCCATGTATTTATTCATTCCATCAAATTTCTATATTTTTTAATAATGAGGCAACACCCACCTTTGTAATTATATGTAGCTTTTCATTACCTACATCTTTTGCAGGTTTCTCTGACAGATGCATGTCTGAATGCAATTTTTCCTAACAGACTATTTTTGTACACAGCTATGCCATATATATATGTGTATGCAATTCTTTCAAGTACATATCTTTTTTCTCCTACACAGTAACTCCAGATGGGTATTATTCTATTTGCAAGTTTCCCAAAGGGGTCATTGTTGCATGTCATTTTGGAAGAGAATGATATTTCAAAATGGGTACAATCACATGTGCTACATTACTTGCCCATTCATGCCACGATCAAGCCATTTGTCTGTTTCAAAGAGAAAGATCTTCTTACATAAATGTTCTGCAGCAGGACTAGCTGGTCCACTTTGGGGGGATAACTGCCCTGAATACCAACCAACATGATGGTTAGAGATATTGTGGGAATCATCCATCCAAAAGATTTGGAAGACACCAGATTCTTTCCAACTCTAGGCAACCGAACAATAGTTGAGAAGGCATCATGACTAGTAGTTTGGATGGCCTGTTTGATAAATCAAATGCTGAGACAGAGAGAGAGAGAGAGGGAGGAAGGGAGGAGAGAGATGAATGTTGAATCCTTCTTAGGTGCTTAAGACAGTTTAGCAGAGGGCCATCAGGAGGAAACCACTTTCAGGCCAAATCCTCCTTCCATTTCCTCTCCCTTTTTAACTAACTTTAATGAGCAGGATTGCAAAATGAGAGAGCTTCCAATTGGCCTCCAATGCTGTCCAGGACCTGTAACGTTCATTTGTCCATCACAGGCCACAACCTCAGCTGCTACTTGGACCATGTTCTGCTGCTTTTGCTGCTTTTTGACTTCTGACTGTGGAAATGAAAGCTTCTTTTCCAAAATTAATTTCTTATTCTTACTACATTGTCTCTTGATTCAAGGAAGAGCAGGAAGCTATATGCAGAGAGGTATTTATTTATTGGAAAGACGCCTCACTTCTTTTGATTCATTCCCAGTAGGAAGGTTGAAATGGCAGAAGTTGGCAGGTTTGCTGATCTAAAGGGTCAGACATCGTGAGTCATCCTTCCCACCACATTGTTTTATTAGCTGCTGTGATTTAGATTCCTTTTTATTTATTTTTAAGTTAGTCCTTATATAAGCAAGTGATAGGTAATAATGAAGTGCAAAAAACCACCGGGATTTTTCTTTACCAGTTTTCATTCAACTGATGAAAGAGAATTACATTCTGAAATTTCTTTCCACACAGAAGAAAAATCCAATGAAAATCTTGTGGGTGGAATGTAAGGTGCACTTAAGTAGTCAAAAGTATATGCATGAATGTCCTGTTTTCAGTCTTTTGCAGTGAACAATCTCCCTGGCTTCCCACACTTAATTAAACCCCCCAAAGTAAACCTAATTAGGGAGTTACTTCCAGGGACTTTTCCTGACTGGAAATCTGAGGAGTCAAGAAAGCATCAAAGTGGTGGAAAGATCTGTAGTGAGAAAAACCACACCAGCAGTTTCACTCTCCACTATCGCTAACAAGGAAGTCAGCTCCAGCAAGAGAAATTTGGAAGAAATTCTCAAGCATCTTAAGGAAAAATATTAGAAAAAGGAGCTCTCTTTCAGAGAGATTTTGGCACAATATTCATTCATAATAGATGGAAGTTGATGGATAGTAGATGGAAATAGAAATCAGAGCTCCATTTGTAGAAAGAATAGTTCTGAGGTTATGCTAACAATGTGACTATGTGACATTCTCTCACAATTTCCTAAAACTACCTGCTAGCTAGGAATTATGGGAGTTATATACCAACCCATATACAGAGCACCAACTTAGGGAAGATTGCTTCAAAGGCCCATCTGAAAGACGAGATGTAAAAATGGCAAAATTGAGGACCCAACTAATTTGTGTACAGAGGTCCATTTGACTTTTTCCTGCCTTTTGAGATCTTTTCAAGACTGCAATTAGAAGAAAGCAAGTGAGTGGAAATAAGATATTGATGGGATCCCAGATTTCTATTTTCCATCTCAAATAAATCATTTCATACTACTTTTCCCCTGGTGGGAAAAGATGCCAACCAGGGTGCTGGGTAGGTGGACTTACTAATATTCTGTTGCCCTCATTGGTCATGTGGTTGCACAGGAAATATTCAGTTGGTTCATCTTCCTGTCTCTCACTCTTGAGGAGAAATTTTACAAGGTGTGCAGCTACTGCAGACATAACAGATTGGTTGGCATGGATTTTCTTCCAATACTGATAAGTGCCTGTCTGTTTGGAGGTTGTTTGAAGGCACCTTTTGACCACAGATATAGGCCCCTATGGTCAGGTTCTGACCAGTATCATTGCTGAAGGTACGTCAAAAATGAATGGAAATACCAAGTCTGTATAATTTAGGTGCGTGCTAAATAATATGTAAATATTAAGTCAGTGTGATGTATCTCCTCTTCCAGGAACTGGAAGACAGTACCTCGACTTGGAAAAGGATTTCTCCTTCTGGAGAAATTAGGGGAGCTCATCTACCCAATTTCTCCCCCATAGATTTGGTGGAGAATATCAGAGCCATTCCTGCCCAGCTGTAGAAATATCATAGCATGTTGAGTAATGGCATTACATATGGCGTAGAATCATAGAGTTGGAAGGGGCCAGCCAGACCATGGATTCCCACCCTCAGCACAGTGCCAGAATCCATACTGAAACATTCCCGCTAGGAGGCTGCTGAACACATCTAATGAAGGAGACCACACCATTCTCTGAGTCATTAGTTCCACTGTTTCACAGTTCTTAATGTTAGGAAGTCTCCAAGTGTTAGAACATTCCAGAGTTACATGCATTCCCCTAATAACAATAATAAAAAAAAACCCTCTCATGTTGGACTTATATTTACATTAAATGGAAAACATAATGTAACGTTTGCCCCAGTATCACAGACCTATTCTGAAGAAGCCCCTGGAATGCCACCAATGCCAAATAAGTCCCTCCTTCTGAAAGAAACTGTACTTCCCTGAAAAACAAGAAGACCCTTCCCTCTCTGCCAGGGAAACTCCAAGAATGTAAGCTTTGAGAAACAAAATTCTAAGATAGAAATTCCATCTCCTCCAGCGTAGCAATACCAGCCTTTTTAGTGTGTTGTCTGTGATGAATGAGTAAACCTTGGTTGGTTAGGTGGATTGAAGATGAAACACCTTGGCCTGGTTCCTGAAGACTTGGGCTGTTCTGGCAAATATTCATTTTGTTCAACCTTCTCAGTCTATTTGCCTTACTAGAAGAGGTCTTTAAGAGGAAAAGGGAGCTCCAACAGCAGTGTAATACTCTCCCAACCCTCATTAAGATGCCTACACTTGTCCCCCCTACATTTCAAAGCAAGTTTCTGATGAAGCTCATTTTCCCCAGGCTTCTAACATGCCTTTCTTTTGCTTCACTAACTGTAGACTTTTATCTTTGACCCCAGCTGGATGGTTCTTTGATGATTTCAGGGAGCACCAGTCCTTCCCCCAAATTGTGCAGGAAAGCCTTTCACTCCAGAATTCAAAATACTAGCCAGAGGAAACTAATCCAAGTCCTCCTTCTCAATGCTTAGGCACGTATAGATTTCAAAAAGTTGGATTTTTTTTCCTTTTTTTTAATAAGAAGGCTGCCCTTCCTGGTCAGACTCGGGCTAGGTCTGAGTTCAGGATGCCTTAGTGTTTTGCTTGCTTGTTTGCTTGGCTTGAAGATACAAGGAATTGCAAATAGGGCTAGTTAACAAAAGTGGTCAATGCTACTGCAGACTGGACTCAGCTCCAAAGGGAGGTTGAGCCCAGGTCATAAACAGGATGAGGCTTTCTAAACTTCCCCAGTTCCAAACTTATCCCAGTCAGTAGCTGTCAACCTTACAAGGTAGACCAGACAGGAAACTTGAGGAGCTAATTCTTTATTGTAAGGTTATGTTAAATGAATTTTGCAAGTATGAAAGTACATTTCTCCCCCCATCTCCTTTACAGCCCAAGAAACTAGGGAGGGTCCCTTTTGAGCCTCTTGCCCCATCCACATTCTTGCTGCAGGCTAAGCTGCCTTGTATCTGACTATTCCCTTGGCTTCATTTCATCATTCCCACATACCATTATATCAGCTGTACTAAATGATTCCATTTGTCAATGTCAACTATTTCTTAGGAATTTGTGTTGTGATATCAATATACACAAGTCATCATTTTGACATAAACTCAATTTGCTGAAGACACCTATGAAGAAGTACACATAAAGAAACAAAACTAGAGGAAGGTTATATTAGGTTAAAGTGAACTCAATAAATAGACACATTAAAATGGATTGACATGACAAACATTCTTTGAAGGAACTACAACAATGAAAAGACAAGTTCTTGAGGCTTGAACCTTCTCCAACCTAGTGCCTGGCTGATGTATTTTGCCTTGCAGTTTCCAGGGCTTTCACAGCATGGCCAATGGACCTCTGGGACTTCTAGTCCTCATATGAATGGTACTCAGCTGGAGAAGGCTAATCTATACACATTTTAAGTGGAAGAGAGTTCCAACAGTATAACTTCTTGTTTTATCTCATTTGAACTTTCAAGGTGGATGATCAAATCTGGTAGGTTTGGGTGAGAAAGACACCAGGCTTATCAAATAAAATGAGTGAAGAGGGGAATCACAGGCTGAACCCCACTTCCATGGGTATATATTATGGGAGTTGAAACCCAAGCCCTCTGGAGATCATGTGATTAAAGGAAACCAACTTAGTATCAATGATATCAGAAATTTCTAACTATGCTTTCTCTTTTCAGACTCTGCTAAAAGAAATTAGCAAACATGAACTGGTCGGGTTTGGAAGACCTTCTTGGTGGAGTGAACAAATACTCCACAGCGTTTGGGCGTATTTGGCTCTCGGTTGTCTTTATCTTCCGGCTCTTAGTCTACTTAGTGGCAGCAGAGAAAGTCTGGGGAGATGACCACAAGGACTTTGACTGCAACACTGAGCAGCCGGGTTGTCCCAATGTCTGCTATGACCTTTACTTTCCAATCTCTCACATCCGACTCTGGGCTCTGCAACTCATCCTCGTTACCTGCCCTTCCCTGTTGGTTGTTATGCATGTAGCGTATCGGGAAGCCAAACTGAAGAAACGTATACAGAAATTTGGAAATGACTTCAGACCACGTTATCCTCCAGGCAAGAAGCGTGGGGGCTTATGGTGGACATACCTCTTCAGTCTTCTCTTCAAAGCTTTGGTGGACATAGTGTTTCTGTTTCTCTTTTACCATGTGTACCCAAACTACAGGCTTCCTAATCTAGTCAAATGCTCCCTTTCACCTTGCCCCAACCACGTTGACTGCTACATAGCCAGGCCCACAGAGAAAAACATCTTCACTCTCTTCATGATTGTTACTGCCTGTGTTTGTGTCCTACTTAGCCTCATGGAAGCTTTCTATCTCATTGGGAAAAGATGTAAGGACAGCCTTCAGGACAGAAGTGAAAGTCACGGAACAGCCAGTGGGGAAGTACACTTCCTCAGAAGAGACAATTGCTCCCTGTCACCAAGTAAACAGGACACAAGTGAAGTAGATGGACAGATTTTTCATGGGGCAGATTATAAGCCAGTCACCTCACCTCTCATAAGCAGCTCCCAATGTGGGGAGCCTTCAAAAGTTGGGAAGCTGGAGTAACTACACATCCAAGGAGAATGAAGAGCTTGTCCATGATCCATATAGCTTCACTCCCATACCAACACTTTCTGCTAGGCTGGAAATGTGAGAAATGTGAGAAATGGTAGAACTTACTGGAGATTAGGAAAAGGAACATTCATCTAGCTTAGTCTGTTCAAGTTTTAACAGCTACTGTATATTGCCATGTAAACTGCTCCTGGTTTATGTTCCAGCCCTGCAGCCATGCCCTTCTTTAGGGTGGTCCTTGACATTCCCCCTCCCATCTGTCTTTCTGATTTTTTTTTTATTCCAACAATCACACTCAGCTCTCAGTTTTCTTCCCCATCCCGTAGGTTTTCCCCCAACTCCAAAACATTGCAGTTCTGCAAACCTTAGAATTCTACTGCCAGCTGATTCTTGGGCATGGTGTTGCTATTTCTTCTATCCAAGCTTAGCTCTTTCCAGAAGAGAGAGGGAGAGAGATCTTAAACTGCCATATCCATTGTTCTGACTCTTTCAATTGAATGCACCTAAATTACTTACCAACAACACTTTGTTCTTTGTTCATTTTCAAACCCAGTGTAATTTTTTTCTCACTATCAGGGAAGGTATTTGGTGAAACTGGTATTGAGATGTTTTTCCAAGGGAACTTGGAAACATAAAATAAAACTTAAGACATGATAGCTGAGGG